TATTTATGTTAATCTTTTTTATAGGCCGCGTGATCAAAAGCGTGACTTCCCAGCAATGGGTCTTAGGTTCAATTCTTGAATGAGATGAATTGTGAGCCACGCCTGTTTATCAAACTAAAGGAAAATGCAGTGATAGGTTTTATAGCACAATAAATTTTTGTACTTCCCAAAATGCACACAATATTTTATCCCCGAAAGGGTAGGCAAAGGTGCACATTACGGCATTTAATGCCACTGTAATGTAACACACACTTTTCACTATTTATGTTATGAGTCCCATGTAATAGGGGGTGAGTCTATTGCCATATACCGGGCACAGTTCCAGCCTCCGTGCTACCACTGAGAAAACTCAGTAATACTTTGCCCGACCCGGGATCGAACCCGAGACCCCTTGCCCGGTAGTCTCTCTTGCGACCACTCGGCCAATGAGGCAGTCTGTTCAACAGAAAATTCCACAATCAATTCAAAGTCCATAGAAATTAACAAACGTTGTCGGAAGTCAATTATTCACACTTAAACGGGCCTAAACAAAACGAGTGAAGTATGAAATCGTAAATTCACGTATCCATGCAAGATGGACGTAGCGAAAGCGTTTCTCTTTTGACAATGAGCTGAATCAACAGACTTTACGTAAGATGCTTCCTCGAGAGTCGAGAGCCATTTGAAGTGTAATGTCAAATAGGTTCATAAGTTTCATAACCATGCAATGGTAGCGTCACGCAAGATGCAATATAGAAAAAAAGAAAGAAAAAACATTTATTCAAATGTTATCCAGTACTACTTTGCCCGACCTGGGAATTGAACCCGAGATCCCTTACCCGGCAGTCGCACTTGCGACCACTTGGCCGACGAGGCAGTCGTTCTAACTAATAATAACATTATAAATGCAAAAGTTTGTGAGACTATATGCTTGTTTATTAATCACGTCAAAAGGGCTGAAGGGATCGGTAAAGAATTTGAGACGGGAGTAGATTATGTTCTGGACTTCTGAAGTAACATTCACATATCGGCTGCTCTTCATCGCACGAACATGGGCGAAGCCGTTATCAGAAACTGAAATAAAAATCTTAATATTTCCATAGACTCAACCACAGAAATATTAAAACTTTTATTATATCTGTGGACTCAAGTATAGAACGTCGCATAGATAATATAAACCAATCGAAGGGGCAGAAATAGCCAGCCAATAGAAGTGAACTGGACGTACCTTCGACCATAGAGATAATGAAATGGTCTATAAACGTCTGCGTATCTCTAACCCGGTTATTTGTTGGCCTGCGCCATACGTGTGATTCTCATGGACTTGGCATATTATGGTGGACTTTTAAATGGTGATCTTATGGAAGGGTGGATAAGTGTTTTAAAGCTATGACGTGTACAATTACATGGTATTACTATGCGGTGTGTTTCGCCATCCGATATGTTGCGGACATAAAAATGTTTTCCTTCATATGTTAAATTCATTTCGGTATGCGAGCTACTACGTATTCATTGGTATAGGTTTTTCTTTAGAAACCAAAACGTTTCCAGCAAATCTATAATCATATATAAAGCTGAAGAGTTTGTCTGTTTGTTTAAACTGTCAAACACCAAGCGGTCACCGGTGACCGCAACCTATTGTTCTATAATTGTGTCTACAAAACCGATACTCGACGAGTTAAACGCAGAGGCCTTAGTACGAGTTTGTTTTACGTTTAAAGTCGTAGATCGTAACGAGTACGCGTTCGGGGCTCAGATTGGTTGGTTCATTGGCGCCGGCCAATCTGAGTGGCTAGCACGAAAACTATCGAGAAAGTATTCGTATCGACATCGAAAGCATTTTCTATGGGATTTGTACAGCGCCCCTACCGTGCGTAAAAGGAACTACACGACGCAAGCACGAATGATTTTGACAACTATCGTATCGTAATCGTATCGTGTTGCTATCGAAACTTAGAACATTTTGACACAAATTGGAAGCACGAACGATCTTTTGACAAACGGTAACGTAAATTTCGAAGGCTGGCTATCGAAAACTGTCAAAACATTTGTCACTTAGAATTTGCCGGTGAGAAAGGTTTCGAAACATTTTAAAATTAAGATTTTGTGACAATTATAAATTAAAATGAACTAAAACAAGTAGTGTGCGTATGAAATGATTCATCAACATCAATGTTTTCGGGAAACATGGCAATAATGATGCAGAGAATGCCACTCGTTGTTAAGTTTGTCGTCGTGGATGGATAACCATTAACAATACTTTTGGACGATTGAAAAACCGATGGTGTTGTTTGTGCAAGGAACATACTCCACTACGCCACCGAAAATTGTGCTAATAGCAATAACAGCTTAGTTGTGTTACAAATTTTTGCCATATATTTTGATATACCCAAACCTCAAGCACTATAAACTTTTATATGCCTCATATACTTATCTTTCTTTGAACATGCATTATATAGGATAGGATAGATAGAGGAGATAACTTAATACAAGTTAGCTATAACGCAATTTCGACTGTCCAAAGTATAGAAATCCTTCACCGGGCTAGGTATTTAATGTTATCATAAATTACCTAGATCTTAATAAAGGAAACTTATATTTAAAGTGAATTGTGTAAACAGAATTTTCATTGCTTGAACTAGGTTTATGCAACTTTTGTTTCAAGTCATCACTTTATCATAAATCAGTATAATTTATATTCTGCAAATATTCTGTCAATATGTTACTAAGTATATTTCATAAGAGATAGACTGTATGTATTTAAAGACAAATTTTATTGTACAAAGAGATTCAAGAAAAAAATTAAATCTAGTACTATAATGTTGTACATGTTTAATTTGTTTCATTGTATTCCACATGAAGACACGTATAGGAGCACCATGTCAGCACCATTATATTTCATTATTTTTTCTCACACTTCCCAGCATCATCACTTGTTTATTATCAAGTTGCAAGAACAATTTCGTCAGTTCAAGTTTAGTCTTCTTTGCTGGTCTATTCATTCTCTAATGGAGTAGAAGTAGTTTGTGGGGTTGAAAAGCTGGCTTAGACAAACTCCTGGAATCCTGAAATAGGCATTACAATGCATATTAGGTCAAACAATAAAGAGAAACTAATCAAAACAATAATAACCCGACTACGAAAAGCAATACCCTTATATTGTTTTTCGCGCGTATTTTTTGTTGAAATTTTTACTTACGATACTTTCCATTAACTCCACCCTTATTTTGCATTAGAATTGAGTTCTTTTATATTAACTCGTCGAGTACCGGTTTTGTAGACACAATTATAGAACAATAGGTTGCGGTCACCGGTGACCGCTTGGTGTTTGACAGTTTAATTAAAATAGAAATCTTAATAAACGTTTAACGTATAAACAAACAATTAACTTGACATAATGGCATTTGACCTCTGTCAAACACGACGTTCGGAAATTGTAAAATATTTTATGAAATTACAAATTAACTAGTACCTCTTTTGGTTGTAGTAATACGATTATGTCACTTTACATAACCGTAAACTCCATTCTTGACCTTTTTTTGCTTAACCAATATATCTTAACAAAATATCAAAGCCTTAATCGTGCAGACAAAGGTAGAAAAATATTTTAAAAATGGTTTAGTTTTCAGACGTAATCATTATGCATTCAATTCGTTCACTTGGGTGCTTCTCTATTTTACATCAGCATGACGTCACTAACGAATTTGATTCGAGCTCTCGAAAGACGATACGATAGGCTTCGTGCTGCAACATTCCGTTTTCGTCACATGACGTTTCGACGTCTCGATACTATTACGTTACGAATGCGATAGTTATTCGTGCTAGGCACACAGAGTGCCAAACGCGTACTCGTTTCGAATACTTTAAACGTAAATCAAACTCGTACTAATCTCCAGAACTATTGCGATTTGAATATTATTTTTGTGTTGGATAGTGTATGTACGAGTCAGCGACTGTACATCACACGCACGCGCGCTTCATGTCAGCAGATTTTAGTTTATTCATTTCATTATAGTTATAGCAATAAATTTGTATTCAGTACATGTTCAGCACTCAAATACATCAGTACTCATCAATCATTAGTTTAGTTGATAATATAGTCGACGTGTTAGTTTAGTGTATCAATAAATATCATCTCACCGGACTATCAAGCGACTTATTTCCACCTAGACTCCAAGTTGTGTGAGAATCATTCAACAACTCATACATCTTTATCGAGGGAACCTAAAAGGCTATAAAAAACCTCACCTTGCAATCTCACAGTGCTGACTGCACGGTTGGCGCGGTGGCTTGGCTACTGGCTGCCGCGCAATGTGTAGCGGGTTTGATTTCCGCACGGAGTAGCTCTTTGTGTGATCCACAAATTGTTGTTTCGGGTCTGGGTGGCATTGTGTATGTGAACTTGTATGTTTGTAAACGCACCCACGACACAGGAAACAAGTGTAGGAGCAATGTTTTAAAAAATAATAATAATCAATAGGAGCTGAGCAGAGCAGGTGAAACCGTTCGGGAACGGCTAGTTAAATAATATGACCTATCTAATCTATCACTACTACGGGCTGATGCTGCAAATCAGCGCTGTGGACTCGAACCTTCGTGCTCGGGCCACAGTATTAAACTCACCTCCGTCCTTTTGCCCTGCGACGCACCATGGGCTTTTTGTGTGTACCTGTATTCTTGTGTGTGGCGTAAAATGGTTTTTTCTATCATTATCACCAAGACCACTAAGCAACACCTTTCTATACTAATATTATAAAGCTGAAGAGTTTGTTTTTTGTTTGTTTGAACGCGCTAATTTCCGAAACTACTGGTCCGATTTGAAAAATTCTTTTTGTGTGGGATAGTTCATTTATCGAGGAAGGCTATAGGCTATAAAATATCACGCTACGATTAATAGGTGCCGAGCAGAGCGAGTGAAACCGCGCGGTAGTAGCTAGTATAAATATAAGATTCCGCACGTAATTTCACTCGTATAGAGTTCAAAATCGTATTATGACCAACTTCCCTGAAGTTAGTCTTACCTGTAAATGTGAATCATCCTTGCTATGTTCAGGCTTGGTGAACTCAACATGTAGGCCTTGGTGCTTGCCACTGAGAGGTAGGGTTGGTGCTTCATGCTGCCACGCAGTCCTCTCGTCCTGGCGGAACCCAGGGTTGTCAAACGCGAACTCATCTTTCACAGACTCTGGGTCTGTTGAGAAGACTAGGTGCTTTCCTGTGGACAAAAATGGTACTGTTTAGGAAATTTAATCATTATTTTTTTCTATTGTTATTCTATTGACAAAGAGGGATTGATTGATTTGTGATATTTATGCTTTAGCTGGTCAAGAGCCAAGCGAACACTGGTGGTCGCTCTGCACTAGTGAGTGCAATGGCATTACAAAGCTTATTTACGATGTTTAGAGACTACGTTTTTGTATGAACAAACCTTGTGAATTTTTCATAATTGGACATTAAGAAGTTAGTGAAGGCCTGGAATATGTTGAAGCTTGTCACCAAACACGAACACAAAGTAATTTAGTATGTGGATAAGAAAATTGAGGTTGATAAGGTTGATTCAATACAGACCCAGTAACTATTCTTATACTAAACTAAAATTTTAACGAAGCCATATCTTCATACGTGCCAACGAATGGCACGATATTCAACCACCGTAAGCGTGGGCTAGCATGGGTGGCTCGCCGCCCGACCAGAACCAGACCCGAGCGTACGGCGCATGGGCGCATGGGCCTCAAACATTCATCAGACCATCACGGTTGGGGCCCAAGAGGGCCGATACGGAGTCGCGGAGAACCTAACGGGTTACCGGAGTTCCGGCTCGAAGAGCAGGAGTAGGAACGGGGGGGTTTTTGGTCAGTAAAAGTCTGACACTCCCTCCCGCCTCACCCAGGCGGGAAAAGTCAATAGATGATTTTCCCCCCTTAAAAAAACTGTCTATGTACTGTAGAAATCTTTATTTTCTTGCCTACATACAAATAACTTGGATGAGAGTACATAGTATCTTGCGGTTGTGGTCAAGTAAATTATACGTTCTGGTAATTTGTTAACTAGCATGCGTCGGTAGTTCGGTATAACCAGTTACCACGATTACGAAACAACGGTATAATATGTATAGATAGCGTATAATATGTAATATAGTGGGTTTCCTACCAAATATGAAGAGCAAAGCATTAGACCTGGTCGAATAATAAGATTTACATCGTTAGGTACCAGTTTTAAAACATCTGTTTAGGTTTTTGATGCACAACTGGAGTAGTTTGATAACGGTTTAACTGTTAATTTTGATTGGTCTTTATTGTAGTTTATTTTCTTGTTTTATCGTATGGTGGAGGCTGAGGAAGATACATATGTATGTCACAAGCCAGCATCATCCCAACGTGTTGCAAGAGCCGACTTGCCAGGTACCTTGCCACCGACGAATGTCAAAAGCGTCTAAGAAAGTTAAATTACACATTTGATAGAGCCTGGCAGCAGCGTTCAGATAAATCAGAAACTCAAATTGTAAAATCTAGTTCACTTGCCGAGGGTGGAAATTATAGCTAATGGCTTTTTTAAGGAAAGAAAATCATCCAATGACTTATCCCGCCTTAGGTGAAGCGAGAGGAAGTGTCAAGACTATTCCTGACTAAAAACCACCCCCTTCCTACTCCTGTTCTTCAGAGTTGGAGTACTAGTAACCCGTTAAGGCCTCCGTGGCTCCGCATAGGGATGAGATGGCTAATGGCGAGTTACTCCTCGTATGTAGATGAATTAAATAATCATATTCATCATTTATCACGGGCTGTCGATTAAAACTTACCGATTTGTTTAATTAAACAACCAACTTTCATTTTAATTCGGAAACTCATTGATAAATAAATATTCAACCAAGTACATCACAAGTACTATGCTAAAAGAATTAACAAAATTCATAAAGAATTTATCTAAATAATGAAAATATTATTCTATCAAATAGCCAATCAACTGTCATTTCCTGAGCTGTCAGTTTTCATAAATGCTATATTCTGACAAATGATGTCATAACTGGACTGGTTCGCTTTTTATACCATTACTCGTATATCTACCTTTTTTATCTTTCTAGGTTCTAATGACCCATACCTTCTTCAGACGAGCTAGGGCGAGAGGATTCCGATTGCTCCTCGAGTTTTCCAATCACGATCAACATAATAGGGTAAATGCCTAATTTTTATTTTAGTGTCCGTCTGGTAGATTATTTTAAATCATTAGACACGTATTTTTTATTTTCTACTTTTTTGTTCCAGTTTTTTAAACCTCTACGTGGCTTGTTTTAACGTTGCGTTTTTAAATACAGTCATTAGTTTCGTACGAATTCAATTGATCTAAACCGTTTAATTGGCTAGGCAGTTGTAGTTAGTGTTGTTTTTCATGGAATAGGAGGCAAACGAGCAGACGGATCACCTAATGGTAAGCGATCAGCGCCGCCATGGACACCCGCAACACAAGAGGAGCCAGAGGTGCGGTTGCCGACCTTTTAAAAATGAATACGCTCTTTTCTTGAAGGTTTGTTTTTGTTGAACTACATATTATTTTGTGTTACTGGGAAGTGGGTATCTAGGCTTTAATAGAGTAGAATTTGTTATGTTTTACACATGAACAGAGAGTGTCAACTGCTGAACTACGGGCCTTCTGAAAGAGGTATTTGGATTGGAGTCGTTGGAGATCTTAGTTTAAAAAGTTCAGATTTTTTTATTGGGACAAGCCCGCCACAACATCCCAAAGCCGCTGCAACTCGTGTAAGCCAGGATCTACAGTAAATACAACCATGAAAACACCGAAACATTGAAGTCCGGCGCGTCCCAGGGAAATGAATAACTGTCTTGGTTCCCACAACGAAGTGAATCAGAAGATATTATAAGAGGAGGAGAAAGTTCAGATTACAGATTCAACAGAGACGGTATAAACGATTTTACAGAACAATTGTCGCAATGTCTGGACGTCCCGGATGGCGGATGATGGCTCCGGCACAAAACAAATATTTATATGACAAGCAGAACAGGTAGTTCTTCCGGGGCCGAGTGTAAAGCGTATTGTTTGTAAATGCACTTACGATGTAGGAAAAAAAATCATAGTGTTGGGAAGCACCTTTGAAGATAGATAAGTCATGAGATATGTTTTTTTATGGAACCGGGGGTAAACGAGCAGACTCATCAGCTGATGGTAAGTTAACAACCCAAGGATACTCGCAACACCGGACGAGTCACAATTGCGTTGTCCGTTTTTTAAGGAGTGCGCTCTATTCTTGAAGCTTTGTTATTTGAGACGGCTACTAGCCCATATACCCTTCACCCTTAATTTCGATTTAAACTTTTGAATACCGTCATTATAGACACAATTAAAGAACAATAGGTTGCGGTCACCGGTGTCCTCGCGGTGTTTGACAGTTTAAATGATGTGAAATATCGGGCACAATCTACACGCACCATATTGCGTGGTGTTATTTGGTGGAGGACGGCGTGGCCTCAGCTTGGTCCGCTTGGCGCGGAGACAGCGTTACGTTGAGAGACAGCAAGCGACTGTTCGCGGCGGTGTCGTGTGCTCCATTCGTATGAATTGGAGATGCTCGCAGCTGTAGCATCATTGAATCGATTTAGGGTATATCTGTTGTCGTGAAATATATTACTTATAGCGTAGAATACTCTTAGGACAAGACTTAGACATTTCAATAGATAAGTTTTAAAGCAGAGACAGAGTTGATGATCGAGTGAGAAGAAGTATCATTACTCTAATTTTGATCACCGATAATGAGAAGCAACTAAATGCAGCTTGATAAGGTTGTGGATAAAGTGCAATAAGTTACCGAGGCTTCGACTTGGAGCAAAATCTGGAACGGGGTGGTTTCTATTCAAGAGTCTAATACGCTCCCGTTTTACCCAGAGCGAGAGGAGTCATTAACTCGTCGAGTACCGGTTTTGTAAACACAATTATAGAACAATAGGTTGCGGTCACCGGTGACCGCTTGGTGTTTGACAGTTTAAATGATTTTTCAATTAAAAATTGGTTCTGATAACTGCTTCTGTCATTCTACTCAGTTTTCACTGAGTGAAATCATTAGGCCGTGTACGCACGGGCAGTTTAAATGTAGCGTTTACAAACCTTAATTAGTCGATCGCACGCTAGTGTGGATTAAGGCCGAACTCGATTAAACCGGACATGTTGCAATTAAAATGAGCTGTGCATTAGTGTTATTGTAATTGGCCATTCTCATTAGCTGTTGCACGCGAATTCGCGGGAAAAAACCTTTTTTGCGTTTTCGTAGGGATTTTCGGAAGTTCTCTCTAAATGTTATTTTAATGTAGACATGCTTATGCTTAAATATTTGTGTTCAATTTTATTCAACCAGGAAGTGATCAGTAATGGATAATGGAGGAATTTGATTAGTTATACTTATTCATTTTTCCCCGCAGATTTAGTAGGTACACAATGGTACGTCTATATTTACAATTGTACGACACTCTAGCGGACATCTCTTCTTCAGAATGATTTAAAATCGAATCTAGGAATCTTACACAGGACCTTTTGTCCAGAGATGATACTGGTGATCATTCGATTAAGCCTTTGAATGCCGTCAGCCACCAGGAACTGACGAGGCGGTTAACAGGAAAAAATGGTTCAATTTAATTACATTAGGTAAACAGGCAGCCTACCGCCACATCCTTTTAAGATTTCTTTTTCTGCGTATAATAATAATTAGTTATAAAATTTCATAATTTCTTATAAAAATGTACAATTTCATATCCGATACGTTAATATTTCTGTCCAATCTTAGCATTAGTTATTGCAACATTTCCGTTAATCGTAAATTTCCAATTTTCTACTACATAGTTAGTTAAATTGAATATAATGCGGTCGTTAATAATTAATTACTTAGTGAAATACAAACGCCGATTATTATTTATTTATTAGTAGCTTCTGCCCGCGACTTCGTACGCGCAATCCCGTTTTCTCCCGTTTCCGTAGGATTTTCGGGACTTTTTTTCTGTCTTAAGAACCTTCTCCTAATAATAACAAATACAATAAAAACAATTAGTAAAGTCGGTCCAGCCATTCACGCGTGATGCCGTGACCAAGGGAGACAGGGACTCATTTTTATAGACATAAACTAACTAACCCGGCAAACTTCGTACAGCCTAATTGTTTTTTCTCACCTTCCCTGGACTTCCACGAAAATTTCAAGACCAAAAATCGGTTCAGTCG